CCTAAACCCTAAACCCCGAGCCCTTCACAGCGGCACCTGAAGCTCAAGGTCCCTGCGAGGAGCGGCAGAAGCGCAAGAGGCGAGCCTTGGGAGTTTTCGGGTTTAGGTGCTTTGGGGGGGTTTACGGTTTAGGATTTTAGGGTTTTCGGGTTTTAGGGTTTAGGGTTTACGGTAGGGTTTTAGGGTGTTGGGTTTTAGGGTTTAGGTTTTAGGGTTTAGGCGTTCTGGTTTAAGGGTTCCTCTCAGCTTCCTGTCAGGGTTGCTCAGAGGTGATTCTTAAGGGTCCAAGAGTTTAGGGTTCTCTTTTTCAACTTCAGTGTCAAAAACCTGATTACACTTCTACATTCAGGGTACCTACTTGGAGGTTCATGGGTAGTTATACATGGGGTTATAAGTCCCCGAATATGGGCTATATTTACAGTTACCCTACTTACAACCCCACTTATAACTACCCATGAGCCTCCAAGTAAGGGGCCCCTTGAGGAGGGCTATAAGTTAAATTATAGGGGCCTTAATATTATGCTTTAAGGAATCTTCCTTAATTAAGGGGTCTTGGGCTCTCTGGGTACCGCACCACAGAAGTGAAAGCAGCCGGGCCAGCATCATGGCCTTCGCACTTCCCAGGCATCCACCACCATTGCTGCCGCGGTATCCGCAGGTTTGGGGGCCCAGAGGTTGGCGATTGCGGGTTTAGGGCTTAGGGCTTTGGGTTTGGGGTTTGGGGTTTAGGGTTTAGGGTTTAGGGTTTAGGGCTTAGGGTTTAGGGTTTAGGGTTTGGGGTTTAGGGTTTAGGGTTTAGACGTCAAGTTTCAATTTGGTCCAAGGGGCTGACAGAGCGTGAAATAGTCCTTCTTTGTAGACTCATGCACATGCTCGTCGTCAGGATTGAGCGACGGCACATTACTGGGAAAACTGGGGTTGAATGCTCAAAGATGAAATTCCATTTTAGTCGCTTCGAACGCAGGGCGGGAACGGAAAGGATCCGGCAGAATACGGAAGTCTGGCTTAGAACACCTTGAGCCACCATGTCGCCGGCAACATGCTTCAATCGAGTCCTGCACTAAAGTAACATCTACTGGCTTCTTGTTTCGTATTGCGTCGTCCACGTCACTCGTTGCACTACTCACGCTCTTTCCAGACCTCTGCAACCCTAAATCCTGGGTCCTTGAAACCGGCCAAGCCCTGAAAGCCCCTAAACTCCTAGCCCCATCATCCTGTGAAGCCCCAAACCCTCTTGGTATACGCCGCGTCCATGGGATGCTATCTAGGCGATGAAGGCAGACTGGCTTGACATGTGCTTGACTGATCAAAGGGGCCCATGGCACGTTGAGGCTTCGGCAGAGTATTCTCCTAACTGGTGTTCCAGAATTTTCTGGCTGCACGCAACATTAATAAGGCAGACTTGGCGCCCTAAATCCTAAATCATAAACCCTAAACCCTAAACCCTAAGAAAGTCTTACCTGAAGCCTAGCTTGAAGACTGCAGCAACTCGCCATGAGCGCAGAGTCCCAAACTTGCTCAGGGTCATCTCGCCGACAAGGGTCACAGCTTACAAGAGAGGTTGCCTGAACTCCTGACCTCTTGTCTTACCTTTGGTTAGTAGGGAATGGAAGAATGGTAGTAATAGTAGTTATAATTTATAATTGTACCCCATCTGCAGCTGTAGCAAACATACTACCACCGCCCTCTGCATGCTAGACGGGACTGGGCAGGGACCAAGGCGTCGGCGTGGCTTCACGTGCGACCATCGTCACTCTTGGATTCTCGGTCCTGTTGTCTCTAGTCTATAGACGTGGTGTCCCACGCAGAGTGGGCACAGGAAGTTCCTTGTTGTGTTACGCTCTGTTATCCGCCTTGCCCTCCCCACGCGTGGCAGCACTTAGACCTCGCTCCCCATAACACATGTTTTTTACAGCCGCTGCGAGGGCACTGCGAAACTGGAAACCCCTTGAAGGCCAAGCGGCCGACTAGCTCGTAGAGGTCGTTGCAGTGGGACCCGAATACGAAGCCAACCAGTCAATCTGGAAAATCTGCATCTTTGGCAGTGTTTCCATCCTCGCCACCGCTTGTGGTCCACAAGATACAACACCCTGTACCATGGCACCATCATCCACAAAAGGCGCTGTACAACTGTGCCGAGCAGCTTGCTCAGCCAAAGCGCTCATGGTAGAAATAGAAGCGCTGCATGTAGCCACTGCTTTCGTTGTGCTTGTTGCAGGCAACGCACGCCGTTTGGATTCCTTCCTTGAGTGAGTCGTTGCCACAACAGTAAACGAAAACATGCTCCCGCAGGTCCGCATGACCGATGGCTAGAAGCTCTGCAACGAAGTCCGGCCTGCCTATCACAATTACCAAGGGTGTTTCCGACTCTAGCGTGCTGCCTGAGACGACTGCATGCAGGGGCTTGGGATAGTGGCAGAAAGTGGGCACCGTCTCGCTGCTTCTTGCTGCAAGGCGCCGCACCCAATCGTTCCAAATCTCACGACTTGCCAGGTCGAAAAGGCAGCCCAGGCCTCTACCTTCCCACCGCGGCGTGGCGTGGAGGTGGCACTTCGTGTGGCCACCCCCACCTTGAGTCTCGAGCTGGGCAAAGAGGTCCTTGAAGAGGAGGAAGTCAGTGGCCCAGGCCGACATCCAAAAGACATGTGCATGCTGGCGCTCTTGAGAAACTTGCGAACCTGCAAGGCTTCCAAGGAAGGATAAGAATGGGGTCACTCCAACGCCGGCGCCGATCCCCACGACCATGGAGTGCAAAGGCATGCTGACGGTGGGAGCATAGAACGGGCCGTCGATGTTCACGCGCGGGAAGGCATGGCCGGCACAGGCATCCTTCAACTTCTGGGTCCAGCGGCCAACGCTCATAATGCAGAAAGTGATCAGCTGGCCTCCCGTCTCATCATCCTTGCTATTGCTGATGGTGAAAGGGTGCCATTCGAATCGAGAAATGCTCGGAATATTGATGTAGGCATATTCTCCAACGTTGCACTTGCGGTAGCCAGAGCTTAACTGTACTTCGATGCGGACGAGCTTGCCATTCATGGACTTCTCAGCCGCCAGCACTGTGGAAGGGCAAAGCCATGCGAGGTAGGCACGGCGGCTGCGAGTCCATGTGTAGGCAGCAATGGGAATCCCAGCAACTAGAATCACCAACGGAAAGCCAAGGCCCACCCAGCCGTTTGCACCATGGAGCACCAGTAGTGTGACCCAAGCAGGCACCAGGAAGTGGTGGAATTGGTAGAAGACGCGGAAATGTGCATGCCTCACTTTGGCGCCTGAAGCCCAGCCCAAGAGGCAGATCACGATCAGCAGCAGGTAGCCTGTAATTCCTGGTGTGGAGAAAACACCATCGAAGTAGCCAATGTCTGCATTTGCCGGCAGTGGGCAAATCGGATATTGGAAGCTCTTCAAAAAGACCCCTGCCTTGCCAAGGTATCCGGCAGGTAGCTCCGTGGGATCTCGCGCGCAAACGAAAGCTTCGTTTAGCTCTTCAGCTGTGCTTCTTTCAAGCGCAGTGAAGGTTCCAATATGATGCGCGAGCGTGTGCACAAAGCTATCCAACAGAACCTGCCAGGAACTGAAAATATGGAGCTCTTTTTGGCAGTTGATGAGCTGCATGAGAAGCTGCGACCTCTGCACACATGGCCGCCGCGCCAGGAGAGACAAGAAGTCGCGGGACATGGTGAGGAAGAGGATCCCCGTCCAGAAGCATGCGCCGTAAGCAAAGCCACGTGCCACAGGGACAGGCAAGCCGATGAGGCGCCAAGTCTTGGGCGTGGTGTAGTAAAACTCGTAAGTGGCAAAGATCACCATCTGGAAGGTAACGAAAAAACAAAGTGCATACTTGAACTGCGCCAGCCGAGAAGCAGCCACGTCTTGCAGTATCATATTTTCCTTCTTGGATTCTGCTTTCGACGTCTTCATGATGTCAGCAGACACTTTCGCATCGGTCGCTACCTGTTTGAAAGCAAGCGAAGTCGAGTCACAAAGACTGCGTGTTGAGCTCTTGGAGCATCTGGAGCCTTTGGAAGATCTGGAGCCAACGCTGGTTTTGCTGCTCCGGCGCCGGGCCACAGCCTGGATGCCCGAGGCTTCACACAGCTCGGCTTCCTCTACTGCGTCGAGGAGCTGAACTGAGCTCTGCGGATGGTGAAGGCGTGCTTTCAGCACCTCGCAGCAGGAGGCAATCAGCTCCTCGTCAGCCCAGAAGTGCAACTTCGCCGCTGAGGCGTGCATCACACGCTCCAAGACGTCGTCGCCGAGATCCAAGTCGTCCAAATTGGCAAGGACTCCACGTACCTCGTCCCAGGACGAACTCTTCACAGAGCCCAACTTGTCGATGATGGCGGACACCCTGTCGTCAATACTGTCGTCAATAGCGATCCGTGTCACGGGCGTCTCTTCCACTTCTTCCTCGTCCGGAACGCCTGGCATAGAGAAAGACTGTACCTGCGTGCTTGCCATGGCCGAGGGAAGTCGAACTCCATCTAGCACTTGCCCTTTCTACCCGACGAAAGCTGAGCCTAGAATCCCGTGGTCCGTGCCACATGTGGTCTTGGTGGAGCAACCAACAATCAAGTGCACCTGCAACGCGCACGGGACATTGATGCCTTTTTGACTGCCATGTGCTTTCTCTCGCTCTCACTCACGCTCTCTCTCTCTCTCTCTCGCGCTCTCTCTCTCTCTCTCTCTTTCTTTCTCTTCACCTCGCTAAGCACCACGGCTCAGACCGGCTCTACTAGCAGAGCTTTGTACATACTGCCGGGGTCCGTATGACATGGCGTCCTCTGCGAGCGCTGAAACTGGTTGTATGCTGCGCATTGGGTCTGATGATTCTCTCGCTGCCGCTGACAGGAAATCCCGACCGCCCAGAAGTGCTAAGGAACACAACAAGATCGGCTTGGACTGGTTGGGACTTGAGTCCTCCGTGGCAGTCGGCCCTTCAAAGGAGACCGGGGAAACAGAGCTCTCCGTGGGCGATGCAACACCACGGGAAATGGACTGCACCACTGATACACCAGAGGAACAGGCTATGCTTTCCCGGTTGGGCCCGAAGCTTAGACCGCGCAGACGAGCTGCCCCTCCTTGGAGCTATGTCAGCTGGTGGCCTTGGCGCAGGCCAATGCACAGAAGAGACATGATGCTATTTACGTCCCTCGTCGGGTGCTGGCCCTGACCAGACCATCCCTCCGTTGCAGCCCATGCCACACAGCACGCCATTGGAACTCATCAAGACGACTCTGCGCTGGATTTGCCATGGGCAGCTTGCTGCCGTATGTCGATCAACGGCCCCAGCAAAAGGAGCTTGCGTCGCCTACTCGGAAATCACTTAGGTTGCAGCAAGCGCTCTGCTTGCACTGGTTTTTGACGACGCATCATCCAAGCGGCTCCCTGTAGAAGGAAGCCGGTCAGAGCCGAGCCGGAGACCCTACCTCAGGTCCGGCCGAAGCAGCTTACTCAGCTCTTCGTCAGCTAACACACACATTTGCGAAGCTACGATTCACTCTTTTATCCGGTGTTATCGCAGCCTTTCCATGATGTACTTGCCACACTTTTCACTGCACTCAGGCCTGTTCATTCGCTACTACCATCTACAACCTCGACCAGTTGTCCGCCCTCGATTCTACGCAGGCCGTGGACCACCTTGTTGGTGTGCCTGGACCCGAGTCCGCTTTTGATTTGATTCACTGCTACATGTGTCTGCAGCAGAGCTGCCGGTATTCAATTTTGCTTTTGTGGCAGTCTGCATCTGCGTCATGTCGCAGCCAGAGCACAGCAACACTCGTGACTTCGCTCGTGCCATTGCCGAAGAGCTTCGTGATCTTCACTCCACAGGATCATGGAACGTTCCCGCTCCAGGGACCGATCCTCCGGGACCGTTTTTCTTTGCGGGTGCGGGCCTCGTTGACAGCGTCAGCTGCGCTCGGTCCCTAGCTAAACAAACAAACCAACAAACCATCAAAACAGCGGTGAAACGAGAGCCATTACAAGGCAGCTTTCAGCGACAAGCAGAAGCAGCAAAGGGCCGTCGCCCAATTGCCACCCGAAGCAGCGGTGGATCCCCCAAAGCAAAGGTCTCCGGCCGTCGTTCTAGTCACCAAAGTCCATGGCAAAGTCCAAGCTGCGGAGGCAGCGTCCAGGGACCGTGACCACGCCAGTGGCACACACACACACACACACACACACAAAAAGGCCTCGCCTCACCGAAATCGCACGTTCAGGCGAAGGGAGCCACCAGGACACGCATGGTGCAATGTGTCGCACAAGACGGCATGCGCCTGATAGCGCAGCAAGGTTCGGCGATTGCACGCTCTGGAGGCAATGCAGAGCTAGAAGGTCGAAGACGTGACCTGTGCTGAAAGGATCTCTGGTTTCACTGTTTCAGTTTAGGGCTCGTACATTCCCGATGCCAGGATGTGCTGAATGCAGGGACGCGAAACAAGTCAAGCCGCGAGTCATTCGGAATTTTAGTGTTCAAATCCTGTGCTGAAGCCCCCATCTTGGTTTCTGGGCAAAGTAAAGCTGCCATGCTTCTGCCTTGCTTCTTTCTGCGCTCTGGAGAGGTACCGCAACGGCTAACGGCTGCAGGCAAAGCCGCACTTTTTTCAGCAAGGCGGGTAAAGGTACCTGACCGACTGACCGACTTTTGGCTTTTCTGTTAAAGAGCGGGCTTTACAAAGCGTTCCTACACTCACAGTCACTCGGACACTTTTCCTGTCTCGGGCTTGTGTCCTTGCGGTCTTGAGCCCAGCACGCGGAAGTCGTGCTCAAGCTTTCCTGGACATTTACAGTAGTGTTCCTACAGCTGTACTGTCAAAGGGGAAATGTTCAACACCCCGCCTTCGAAGTTAGTGCCGGTAAGTTCCTTACCAAACTGGCTTCGACACTTCTTTTCCTACACACGACAGTACCTGAAGCTGTGGACGTTTTACTCACAAACAAACTCTGGCTCCTGCCGCAAACGTTTCCGTTCACTTGCAATCCTCTCCAAGGTTGCTGGTTCCTGTACAAAACTGCATTAGCACTTTACCTGGATCATCAGCCGGGCACTCAAAGAAAACAAAAGTTCCTAGCGCAAACGTTCCTGCACTGTACGGTCTTCCTGAGTTGCAGAAAGGGTCACTCTTTCCTTGGCGCTCTGGCCTCACTTCTCCTTGTAGCTTTCCTTTGGTCTTCACTGGTAGTTGTCGGTGCCTGTTCCTTTGGAGTCTTTCTTTCCTTTGCCTTTGGGATCCTTTCCTTTACTGCTGCTGCTGCTTGCTGCTTCTCCTTTCGACCATTCTTCCTGGTAAAACCACTTTTGCTTCTGTCCTTCTAACCATTCTTCATGGTCCTTCTGTTGCTTGAGGCTCTTTTCCTTTCCTCTATTGTCCTTTGCTTGACGAATCCACTTCTTTGCGTCCATGTTCCAGTAGTACCAGAACTTGTTCTTATCTTTCGAAGGACCGGCAGAAAATTTCGAGCCGAATCATAAACAGGGTTTATGCTAAGATCTGATTGCAAACAATCACTCATGTATCACCTGCCAGCATGATGCAAATACTGTCACGTTCCTCTCTTTTTTCCAGATGGGGAATTCAGAATCCATCCTTGCAGTTTCGTCACGATCTCGCCCTGTTGGTCAGAGCATGCTACCTTCACTGGAAGCGGAGGGCATTTTCCCCCCACTGGTTCGGCCTTAGACGACGGCCTGCAAGCACGTCGCCGGTAACAATTTGCATTGTAAGCT